ATGATGTAGATGGAAGTAGGAGTAGTGACTATTGTTGTAATGATGTAGATGGAAGTAGGAGTAGTGACTATTGTTGTAATGATGTAGATGGAAGTAGGAGTAGTGACTATTGTTGTAATGATGTAGATGGAAGTAGGAGTAGTGACTATTGTTGTAATGATGTAGATGGAAGTAGGAGTAGTGACTATTGTTGTAATGATGTAGATGGAAGTAGGAGTAGTGACTATTGTTGTAATGATGTAGATGGAAGTAGGAGTAGTGACTATTGTTGTAATGATGTAGATGGAAGTAGGAGTAGTGACTATTGTTGTAATGATGTAGATGGAAGTAGGAGTAGTGACTATTGTTGTAATGATGTAGATGGAAGTAGGAGTAGTGACTATTGTTGTAATGATGTAGATGGAAGTAGGAGTAGTGACTATTGTTGTAATGATGTAGATGGAAGTAGGAGTAGTGACTATTGTTGTAATGATGTAGATGGAAGTAGGAGTAGTGACTATTGTTGTAATGATGTAGATGGAAGTAGGAGTAGTGACTATTGTTGTAATGATGTAGATGGAAGTAGGAGTAGTGACTATTGTTGTAATGATGTAGATGGAAGTAGGAGTAGTGACTATTGTTGTAATGATGTAGATGGAAGTAGGAGTAGTGACTATTGTTGTAATGATGTAGATGGAAGTAGGAGTAGTGACTATTGTTGTAATGATGTAGATGCAAGTAGGAGTAGTGACTATTGTTGTAATGATGTAGATGCAAGTAGGAGTAGTGACTATTGTTGTAATGATGTAGATGCAAGTAGGAGTAGTGACTATTGTTGTAATGATGTAGATGCAAGTAGGAGTAGTGACTATTGTTGTAATGATGTAGATGGAAGTAGGAGTAGTGACTATTGTTGTAATGATGTAGATGGAAGTAGGAGTAGTGACTATTGTTGTAATGATGTAGATGGAAGTAGGAGTAGTGCCTATTGTTGTAATGATGTAGATGGAAGTAGGAGTAGTGACTATTGTTGTAATGATGTAGATGGAAGTAGGAGTAGTGACTATTGTTGTAATGATGTAGATGGAAGTAGGAGTAGTGACTATTGTTGTAATGATGTAGATGGTAGTAGGAGTAGTGACTATTGTTGTAATGATGTAGATGGAAGTAGGAGTAGTGACTATTGTTGTAATGATGTAGGTGGAAGTAGGAGTAGTGACTATTGTTGTAATGATGTAGATGGTAGTAGGAGTAGTGACTATTGTTGTAATGATGTAGATGGAAGTAGGAGTAGTGACTATTGTTGTAATGATGTAGATGGAAGTAGGAGTAGTGACTATTGTTGTAATGATGTAGATGGAAGTAGGAGTAGTGACTATTGTTGTAATGATGTAGATGGAAGTAGGAGTAGTGACTATTGTTGTAATGATGTAGATGGAAGTAGGAGTAGTGACTATTGTTGTAATGATGTAGATGGAAGTAGGAGTAGTGACTATTGTTGTAATGATGTAGATGGAAGTAGGAGTAGTGACTATTGTTGTAATGATGTAGATGGAAGTAGGAGTAGTGACTATTGTTGTAATGATGTAGATGGAAGTAGGAGTAGTGACTATTGTTGTAATGATGTAGATGGTAGTAGGAGTAGTGACTATTGTTGTAATGATGTAGATGGAAGTAGGAGTAGTGACTATTGTTGTAATGATGTAGATGGAAGTAGGAGTAGTGACTATTGTTGTAATGATGTAGATGGTAGTAGGAGTAGTGACTATTGTTGTAATGATGTAGATGGAAGTAGGAGTAGTGACTATTGTTGTAATGATGTAGATGGAAGTAGGAGTAGTGACTATTGTTGTAATGATGTAGATGGAAGTAGGAGTAGTGACTATTGTTGTAATGATGTAGATGGAAGTAGGAGTAGTGACTATTGTTGTAATGATGTAGATGGAAGTAGGAGTAGTGACTATTGTTGTAATGATGTAGATGGAAGTAGGAGTAGTGACTATTGTTGTAATGATGTAGATGCAAGTAGGAGTAGTGACTATTGTTGTAATGATGTAGATGGAAGTAGGAGTAGTGACTATTGTTGTAATGATGTAGATGGAAGTAGGAGTAGTGACTATTGTTGTAATGATGTAGATGGAAGTAGGAGTAGTGACTATTGTTGTAATGATGTAGATGGAAGTAGGAGTAGTGACTATTGTTGTAATGATGTAGATGGAAGTAGGAGTAGTGACTATTGTTGTAATGATGTAGATGGAAGTAGGAGTAGTGACTATTGTTGTAATGATGTAGATGGAAGTAGGAGTAGTGACTATTGTTGTAATGATGTAGATGGAAGTAGGAGTAGTGACTATTGTTGTAATGATGTAGATGGAAGTAGGAGTAGCAGGGGCGTACGCCGCTCGCCTCCAGGAGTGGTTCCCATGCCAACTGATGAACCAACATTCCACACAATTGAAGTGCTGTTTTCGTATCCCGCGGAGTTTCTGCACATTCTCCTCAGACTGGGTGAAATTAACATCCACAAGCTGCTGGACGATGTCATTGCTACGCATTTTTGATTTTAAAAGACTGAACCTTTCCCCGTTTTATGGATGTTTTGTTCAGCATGACGATTGCATGCAGTCTTGAAAGCTGCCTAAGTTTCGAATCATCTGGAGCAAACATCACACAGGGCAAGCAGAAGCCACCATTGCATGCCTGTCAAAAGACTACCCAGGGTAATTCCTCTAACAAGGATAGTTGAAAGTGGCGCTGTTTGCCATCCATCTGGACACGCACAGGAAATGAAATCCTTCGCCTTCGGTGGCGCACAATGATTGTCGATGACGGAAATCTTTTCCGTGTCCGGCAAATGTCGGGGGACTGGATTCCATTGTAGACGTCGACTTTCAGAATATCCCTTCCAACACACTCCCATGTCACTGAAGTAAGTTTTGGATGATCGAGCAGCTTCCAACAACGGTCGCTCTACAGCTTCGCCGACGATTTCTTCCTCAGCGCTGCTCGTTGCATGCAGTCTTCGCTTGCAAGTCAGGTGCCGCGGTCTGCATTCTCACCTATCTCTTGACCTTCGCCACTAGCACTGGCTACACTCTTTGCCTGCTGCTCAAAATAGCTCTGAATAGAGCGCTGGCCCTCTGGATGTCGACGCTTCATTTTTCCTTTCCACAAAGCGAAAGCATCGTCCAAAACACGACGAACTTTGTCAAAACAAACTGCAACAGAAAATTCGACTCGGAGATCGAGGCGATGTAGAGACTTTGTTGAACCCAGCTCAGTAGGCTGTGTCCCAGCACCGCTTTCACACCTGGGCTAGTCATGTCACCATCCTCGACCTCGGACCGTCTGGCCATCAGGCGCGGACTCCAGGCGCTAGGCATGCACTGCACAGCTGCATGCACTTACTTGCACTGCGAGCGCTGGGCCTGAAAAGGCTGGATCAAAAATATCCGTACTAATATCGAATTTTTTTTACTGGTTCCCGGGAACCGCCCTATGTACGCCCCTGAGTAGTGACTATTGTTGTAATGATGTAGATGGAAGTAGGAGTAGTGACTATTGTTGTAATGATGTAGATGGAAGTAGGAGTAGTGACTATTGTTGTAATGATGTAGATGGAAGTAGGAGTAGTGACTATTGTTGTAATGATGTAGATGGAAGTAGGAGTAGTGACTATTGTTGTAATGATGTAGATGGAAGTAGGAGTAGTGACTATTGTTGTAATGATGTAGATGGAAGTAGGAGTAGTGACTATTGTTGTAATGATGTAGATGGAAGTAGGAGTAGTGACTATTGTTGTAATGATGTAGATGGAAGTAGGAGTAGTGACTATTGTTGTAATGATGTAGATGGAAGTAGGAGTAGTGACTATTGTTGTAATGATGTAGATGGAAGTAGGAGTAGTGACTATTGTTGTAATGATGTAGATGGAAGTAGGAGTAGTGACTATTGTTGTAATGATGTAGATGGAAGTAGGAGTAGTGACTATTGTTGTAATGATGTAGATGGAAGTAGGAGTAGTGACTATTGTTGTAATGATGTAGATGGAAGTAGGAGTAGTGACTATTGTTGTAATGATGTAGATGGAAGTAGGAGTAGTGACTATTGTTGTAATGATGTAGATGGAAGTAGGAGTAGTGACTATTGTTGTAATGATGTAGATGGAAGTAGGAGTAGTGACTATTGTTGTAATGATGTAGATGGAAGTAGGAGTAGTGACTATTGTTGTAATGATGTAGATGGAAGTAGGAGTAGTGACTATTGTTGTAATGATGTAGATGGAAGTAGGAGTAGTGACTATTGTTGTAATGATGTAGATGGAAGTAGGAGTAGTGACTATTGTTGTAATGATGTAGATGGAAGTAGGAGTAGTGACTATTGTTGTAATGATGTAGATGGAAGTAGGAGTAGTGACTATTGTTGTAATGATGTAGATGGAAGTAGGAGTAGTGACTATTGTTGTAATGATGTAGATGGAAGTAGGAGTAGTGACTATTGTTGTAATGATGTAGATGGAAGTAGGAGTAGTGACTATTGTTGTAATGATGTAGATGAAAGTAGGAGTAGTGACTATTGTTGTAATGATGTAGATGAAAGTAGGAGTAGTGACTATTGTTGTATACGAACGCATGTGTCAACATTTGTTCCGTTCTGAGGGGAGGAAGGAGTTGGGTTGAAACAAGACAAATTCGTTTCGTGTTAAATTATGGATATTTACGGACGGCCCCTGACGTATGAAATCCGTATACTGTAAAACCGGAAAGTGTTGGCGGTTGAGGTCACTCGCCCTGCTGCCACTAAAAATAATACTCACTGCGAGCCTGGCAAACAGCGATTGACAAACCACTCTTATCACCACAACTCAATGCTGTGTAGTGTGCATGCAGGTCGGTGTGTTAAATGAATTTTTGCGAGCGCGCACAAATAAGTTAACACAGAAGGCGCGCCGGACACTTCACAGTTTGCTTCCTGCTCAGATTTGCATGGCTGACTCTCTTCAAAGCCCACCAACCCATGCCCTCTGCTTCTTTTCTGCTGTGCTGCACCATGCTGAGGCACATCTTCACTTTACTCTTGGTATCACAATAACCAACATTCAATATCACATCTCTTCAGTTTTTAAATAACTGAATAAAGAGGGGAGTCAATCTCGCTCACCAGGCTCATCCTGCCAGTGCGGCTCACACAGCCCACCCGGCTCTCAAAAGATGCGACAGGGTCACTCACCTTGACGCCAACATAAAGATGCGGCCAGGTTCACTTACCCTGCTGCCACTAAAAATAATACTCACTGCGAGCCTGGCAAACAGCGATTGACAAACCACTCCTATCCCCACAACTCAATGCTCTCAATGCTGTGTAGTGTGCATGCAGATGGGTGTGTTAATTTTTTTAGCTGTAGCAAAGTGGTTGCTTATATATACAAATATAACCGGCACGTTCGGGCTCTATGCCTTCTCCGTGAAATAAAGGAAACTTAAGGGAAAAAAATACAGAAATCAAAAGTAGAACTGTTCGAAAAAGCTGAGATCATGGAAGGACATCAAATGTGTGATGTGTTCTGCGTGCTGTGTGCTCTCAGTCCATGATCAAGTGTGGAAGGAGGATTACTCGCTGCTATCTCTCTGTGAGTAGGATCGTTTCCGTCTGACAACGCTGTCGCCCGTGGACGTCGTTTCCGCATGCAACTTGTGTTGTCGCTGTTTTGTGCGCAGCATTATCTCGGGTGAGTTGTGCCGGTTGCTGCTCCGCAGATAGGCCTTACTCTCAGCATTGTTCTTCTCTAGACCTTGCCCACTGAATTTCTTTATTCCGTTGTTGGCTGAAATCATTCTAGGCACATGGTATATAGTGATGTGCATGTACAAATGTAGGGTGCCGCCCTCGCTTTGAAGTACGCCTCGCTGAGGTCACCCAGACTGGTGAATTTCCTCACAAACTCTTGGCAGAGATGGAACACCTCGGCATGATCATCTGGCTGCGCGTTCGGTGCACTGATACGCTCATATGCGTCGCGGAAGGCTTTCCAGGTCGGCTTTACTCTGGCCTCCACTTCCGCAGGCATGAATTTTGCGAAAGGGTCGGGCAGTTTCTCCAGTGGCCGCTTCTTTGCCGGGCCGTCAAGGTTCATCCAGTTGAGATTCCCTTGGTCTGTTCTCTCTAGCCAAACTCTGAACCCGTGCACATAACATGATGCTATTGCATTGACAATTGTGGTGACCGTATGTCCAATGCTCCGTTTATGGCCAAGGTTGCTGTCAGTGACCTCCGCTGACTTGAGAAGGCCAGACAGCAACCTATCCATAATCCGGAGCAATAGATGGAGCTCATCGACGACTATAGACGAAATAGGAGCATTGACCAGGGGCTTGTTTTTGCAGCCTTTTCGTTCTGCTGCCGTGTTCCTTTCATGAGCTCCTCGATCTCCGGTGTTGTCCTAGCCATTGGCGGTTCGTCGTAGAAGTCACAGGCTTTAGACATGTCGTGCCTGTTTGCATCCTCTACCTTGCAAAACAGGCATGCGTACTTGGACGATGTGCGGTTCATCCCCATTACACTCAGGAGGAACTTGTAGTCCCCGCCGAGGACAATGGAGATGGGCACTTTTGTTCGTTCAATTTCGATGAAGCCGGCTGAGATGAGATCATTGACCTCATCCCAGACCGGCTCCAGTCCCACCTTCAGCCCTTCGTAATCTTCTGGTGCACTGGTCACAGCGAATGTGATGTGCGATGCACTGCTGCAGCTAGATAGTCCACTATCCATCAACACATACGTGACCAGCACATGGTTAGAAGCTTTTGTCAAGGCCGCACCATCTGCGGCGATTTTGATGACAATCTTCTCTTTAGCTATATCTGATACATTTCTGTTGTTGAAGTTGCGACATATGTCTGCTTCCAGTAGTGGCAGTAGTGCGAGTCGTGCTCCTTGATATCTTCCATTTATCGGTATGCAATTGCAATCCCTGTCCCTTGAAGCGTCTCCGATAGTGCCACACCATGTAGCTTCTTGTAATCGTCGGGTATATCTGCGTCAGTTCGTGGTATAGGGAGTCTGAGCCGGAAAATCTGTCCAGAATGAACACAGTTTTCTTGACGGCGTCCTTTTCTTCATCTGATAGCTGTATATATCTTCTCTGTGCTGTGTCCTCTGCAGCCGAATTCAAAGGCTCGCCGTTGCTATGTGTTGTTGTGCTTGAGTGAGCAGCACCATCGCTCTGGGCCGTGGCACCACCGTCAGCGGCAACAGACGCTGTCGTATCGCCACCGTCAGCTGCTGTCGCACCGCCAGCGACAGCGTCTGTTGTCGCACCGCCAGCGGCAACAGACGCTGTCGCACCACCATCAACAGTGTCTGTTGTCGCTGTCGCACCACCACCATCGCTCTGGGCCGTGGCACCACCGTCACTGGAGAAGTGGAGGTGCACCTCCTCATTGGTTTGCCGTTCCCGCAGATGAAGGAATTCGATGTTGAACCCGAAGGACTTGGCGAACCAGAGCGCTTTCTCTGTCCTGGTTTGCAGTGCATGTCTCTGTCGCTGCTGCTGCCTGGTGCCTACCTCACTGTAGGTCTTGCCTTTGCGGCCGAATGCCATAAATTCAGTAGCAGCCTGGTGAAGCTGCTTGTGTGGCTGTTCTCTTTTCTGATATTCCTGTTCCATTTCCTCAAATAGTTGTTGTTGCGCTGCTTGCAGTTCTGTGTATCTTCCCTGCCACTCACTCACAGAATCACGCAATGCCTCATTCTGAATTTGCAAGTCCTGGACCCTTCCGTGTGCATTCGCAACATTGACCAATTCACCCTCACATATTGTAATCACGCATTTGCCTTCCATTATCACCTGCCTTTTGTATGGGTTTTGCTGGCATAATACTTTCTCGACACCTGCAGCATCAACACAACATGAGAACATCAGTCCTTTTCACTGATATGTTGACTTTCATGCTTGAGCGCATGTGAATGACGTGTGTGGGTTCGTGTTTTGGGAGGTTATAATTGCACGTATATCTACGTCTCAGTGCGCGCGCGTGCGTGTGTGTGTGTGTGGTGGCTATGGTGCGGTGGCTATGGCACAAGTGTAACGCTGTTCGCGCGGCCCGGGCGCGCTGAGTATGGCGTTCCCCGCCCGGTGGACAACACGTCTCCTGGTCTGCCCCGTATGGTGCCACATAGCCAGTCATGGCAGTGGAAGAAGGAAGGTGGCTATGGCTACAATAAAAGTCTCGATCTGTTTCATTCGGATCTTGTCCGCTATCATTACTATAACAGAAACTCTGTGTGCTCACATCCAGTGCATTTGCAGATTTGCTTGCTTGTCTTGCGACGGGCAGATACATGGCACATGGTGTGTGCGCGCGCACGTAGAGCTATTACTGAACATTCCATGTGCCAGGCCACATTTGCAGTATTGACATGACATTGTACTATGTGGCTTGAATAGACTCGGATGGAGAGCCAAGGATAAATTTATAGTAAAGAAAAAAAGGACCAAGAAACTACACGTTACGCTGTAATGTCCACTAACACCACCAGTTACTAAACAATCAGCTCATGCGATAATATTGGTGGTGTTAGTGGACATTACAGCGTAACGTGTAGTTTCTTGGTCCTTTTTTTCTTTACTATACCGTAAAGTCGCGGATAAAAGCCGGGCTTATAAGCACATAAGCCGCTTTCTGCATCAGGCTTCAATGCAAACCAGGCTTGTATGCAAACCATGCTTATATGCACCACTGATATTTTTGCCAGGCCTGTATGCACATCGGCCGATCCGGGCTTGCATAGAAGCCAGGCTTCTACGAGCGACACGCCTAGATCTAGGCAGCACTGACAACCGGTACGCGGTATGGCGGCAGTTTTACTATGCACTGTACATAGCGCATGCACTCTTGACCTACCCAATCCGCGCTTGCATAGAAGCCAGGCTTCTACGCGCGACAGGCTTATGCATTTGACCCGTTTGATTTTCAGGCTTCTATCCGCGATGTGCTTGTATGCAAACCCGGCTTTTATCCGCGACTTTACGGTAAACTATGTGGGGCTTGTTCGTATTTTTCTATTTCAGGAGTTAAATTCCTTCTTGCACTCCATGTACATTGTATACTGTCATTAGCTCCAACATTTACCTTTGATATGTTTTTGAATAATCTTGTGCACAAGGTCTAGCTGTTCTCTTGCAGCCGAACTGCATCACCTGGCGCGAACCAATACAAATTTCAAAAAGATCATATGTAAGGAAAAATTGGAGGCGTATCCAAGTCGACGAGTCACTCGCAGCCAGGTGAGGATGCGTACTGGAGGAGACGAACAGGCGGCGATACTGGAAGTGACAACGAGCGTAAGTGGGAGGAAGCTTGGAAGACCACCACGAAAGCCAGTGATCAAGACAACGGAAGAGTCAGACACCGGACGAGTGGCCGGCGGTGTGGTGGAAGGGACGAGTCAGGACCTGCAGCATCGGAAGTGACAACAAGACGACTGCCCAGTGGAAAGGACGGGTCAAGAGCTGCGACATTGGAGGTGACAAAAAGACGAGAAATTCCAACAGTCAGCAATCGGCGATCAAGAGTCATCTGTCGGTTAGTGATAGTTGTCGTGAGTTGTACAGAGATGTTTTCTCAGTTTTGGCCCGTGGCAGATCTGTATTACATTTGTCTGTTTTGGAAGCGTTATATATTCGCAAGTTGTCCCCTGAACTATGTGTCCAGAAGGAAAATGTTTTGTCGCTTCAGTCGTTTGGCGCTAATCCTCGTGAAAGTGTCAGGAATGCTTCTTCTCATTGATGTTTTCATTTGTTTTAGTCATTTCTTCACCTTCACCCTGTTGTTGACTTGTTCAGCTGAATTTTATTTTTTCCACACGTATAGCGTGAGTTCTCAATCTATGCTTTTGCTCTATAAGTTGCTGTATTTGACATTTTTCCATTATTCCCTGTATTTACCCATGATGAGAAGGGAACGAAAATGTTTGGTTAAAGGGGAAGTCCGGTGAAAAATTTAAATTTCACAGTCCGTAGAGTTTGGGGCGCTGAGTCGAATGGTCTTTGTCCGAGGAGGCTGCGGCCTATGGTTCGTCAGATACGCCAAATCGAACATGTGCGAATTTGAGCGCGCCTCACCCAGATCCAGGTGATGACGTCACAGCGTGCAGCCAGGTAGCCACACCATCTAGATGTGTACAAAACGGCCAAATTCGGAGCGCGTTCGATTGGGGAACCGTTTGTCGCAGCTTCTTCGGACCAAGACCATTCGATTCAGTGTTACAAACACTACGTACTCTGTGATTTTCAGCTCGGTAAACCTTGAGGTTATACTGTATTTTTAGCCGTTTCCGAGTTGGATTTTTTCCGTCGGCATGCTACGGCTCTACAAATGCGCTGCGTGCATGCTAGCACACACTCATCACACACGGAACTACTCCCGCACTGCCGTGCTGGGGTAGCTAGGTACAACAAGACTCGAGTCACAAGACTCAGAAAACTAGTCAACACACGGACTTGTCATGTACTACACTCGTATCAGTCGTATTGAACAGTCATGTAGCCAGAGAACGAGCGTTCCTCCTTGCCGGTGCCGGTGGTTGTACTTTGAGAAAGAAAAATTAAGTTTTCCGCTCCCGCCTCATTATTTTATGCTACAGCGATGAGTGCATAACCGTGACAAGTGACAAAACAGCGAACAGCTCCCGGACCTAGAACTTTCAGATCCCGTAGCGTTGCGAGCGAAGAGTCGTGCCCGTGGTTCAAAGAGCCTGCACTGTTCTCCAATTGAGTAGTCCGAAATATGCCAAGTTCGCACCAAAACATCACCATGTGGCAGGCTACTAGAGTCTTCAGCTGAATACCGAGGTTCTCAGCCCCAGACCGAACTCATGAAGGTCAGCCACGGCTGCATCCTCACTCTCACAAGGAGTTACGTCTTCGGAGTCGCTTGCACCACCTACTATGGGTCGCCAAATCATTTGAAATAGCACTGACGCTACTATTGCTTTCACGCACTCCTTTTGAACTAGCTGCACGCTATGACGTTGCGGAGGGTGTGGCGCGGCCGCATGACGTCATGGCGCAGCCCCCGAAACTCAGTTTTTCAAACGGAAATATCTCGAGAACGCTTTGTCGGAGACACGTGGGACCAACACCATTCGACTCAGCGGCCGAAACTCTACCGACCCTGAAATTTAAATTTTTCACCGGACTTCCCCTTTAATAAATTGGCTTACCTGACTGTGTGTATTGCGTCGGTGCTGACACCTTTCTTTCGAAAAAGTATCATAAATTGGATTATTTAGAAAAGTGGAGCAAAAAACACAAACATCGTTAGCATGAGCGATGACTTGACTTACTGTTGATCACTCGGTCCAACGCATCAATATAAACTTTCCCACCGACTGCAGGATACTTGGCGTGGTACTTCGCCCAGAAAATTAAAAGCCTGTGGGGCAGCTCGATGTTGGCAACGGGTTTGTTGACAAACGTGGTTCCAGCGTGGCCTGCAGCGGCAGCAAAACACAACACCACCACCACGAACACCGTGACTAGGCAGTTCCCCTCAGCCATCTCCAGGCTTCGCTGGATATCCAAAGAATACATACAAGTAGTCTCGTCAGAAAGCCACTACACCTACAAGTAAAGTTCGCACGTCCGCGTTACTACTGGCTACAATTGTGTTGAGAAACACAACGAGCTTGGAAGTTTCGCTTGTGCCAGGCCACCAACAAGCCACTACAACAATAAAAATCAATCAATCCATCAACAGTTTGAAAACACTCAAAGACATGTCGACAGTGCAGAGAGCTGGCCAGCACGCGAGCATGAAAACGATGAATGAATAAAAAGGCAACATGTCAGAAATTTTGAACGATGAAAAACACTGAAAACAAGGAAAGTGACTTTAATACCTCGTTGGCAAAACACAAAGCGAATGTTCCTCGTATGGACCTGGCTCTTGGGGAATCAGCCACACTGTGGAACCATGTGTTTGATTCTACAAGCGATGGCTACCTGCTCCTCACCAACCAGTCTCCACGACGGTGGTAAAGTCGCCAAAAATACGAAAGTTGAACATATTGTGCATGCATGCAATAGAAAATTTGTGCTGAGTATGTCGAGTGGCCATTCGAAAAGTACAAAGCCGTTGCGCAAGCTGTGACCCTGAAATTTCGCCCATTGATAACCAGGGCAACCCTGAGCTGGAAAGTGTAAGGGGCCGGTCACATTGAGGGAAAATTTGAAAATAATCCGTGGTTACCATGGATAGTTCCCGCTGAGCGGGAGATTTGAGAGATTTAATCCACTCGATGAAAATCAGCTCGAGGCCCCGCTCTTCCGCCGAAGATTATAATCATCCGCGGCTTCCACTGGATTTCTTTGAGTTTCCTTGTTTTTTATTGCGTTCTGAAGTGGAGCGATACTCTAGAGGCTGTGCTGATGCAGCTCTGGCCCAGGAGCGGGGCTGACAGACTGCCAGAAGCGAGTGGTGACAAAAAAATTGCTCACGTGAGATTTTTTTTCATTGTGCGTATGCAGTGTGGCCGTGATGAAAAGCAGAAAAAAGTATTCCCTATTTATAATCTGAGGATTGTTCCCTCAATGTGACCGGCCCCTTAGCGATGGCATGCTACACTCCCCCGCATACGCTTGACGGCACGATTTGAGGCGTGGAGTAGTAATATAGCAGTATCTTACTACTCCCTGATACCTGATGCATGGACGTCGTCATCTTCATCCCGCACATCGAAAATGTACAGGTGTCGCGTGATTTCGCGCAATGACAATTTCATGTAGTCGCAGACTCCACTGTAGCCATTTACACAGCAGGAACCTCCCCAACCTATTCCCTAGACTAGCATTGGCACTACATGCATTGTAATATACTGTAACCAGGCAGACACACTCAAAACATGCAATTGAGTTCCGCCCATCCACAACATACCTCGTCAGTCATAGTACTTTGAGAAATGATCTACACAGGCCGCAGTTCTTCCACGGAGGTAGCTCCACTGGGTCCGCCCAACCCCCTAGCCTATTGAAGACTTTGCTCAGTGACTTCGGAGTACTCACATTGCACTTGAACAGTCGAACATGCTGTGGGTTGTGATCCAGTTGTCATGGTCCGTTACCACAACCTGCAAGCAGTATGTGAGCACACGTGCGGTGCACACGGACATGCATGCACACACACAGCAAACCATACATGAAAAGTGCACTTCGCAGTAAGATAAAGTGCAGCCTTGCCCCAGTTATTTACCCAAACATGTTTGGACAGCTTTGAAGTTGTGTTCCGATAATCAGTTCAACCAGTGTATACTCGTGTATATTTATATACATTCCTGGTACTTTGAAGGAAGTGGGGAAAGTATCCAGTCAACCTTGTGTATAACAACCTCGTGTACTGCATAGCAACAACTCGTGAATACCGACACAATCTTCAGGCATAGTGATCATTCAACTGCATACTTAAGAGACCTCACGAATAACGGTACTTTTCTCAGGCACTATCAAGGCCGGTCGTTATTCGCAAGGTTGACTGTTGCCTTTTGACTGTTGCCTGTTGACTGCATGGATAAAGTCACCAGTACAATGTACACAATCATAATCAGGACAATCCCGGAAACTGGTTTCTCAGCACATGCTGTCACGAGAGGCCATTCTAGTCATTTCAGCACACAGGTGCTGTATACTGTAAAAGCAGAAATTTTCGGTGGTGTAATTATTTTCGGTATTCTCCAAAATGGACTGTTCGGTGGAGGGAAATTTTCGGTAAAACCCGTTTTCCAGGCAAGTGTACTTGTACTACATGTATACAGTACCGGTAGTATCGGAATTTTCGGTGCGTTTTATTTTCGGTAAAAATTGTCGGCACCGAAGTTACCGAAAATTTCTGCTTTTACAGTATTAGTGGTACCCCACGTGCATGCAGCAGCACAGGTTCTTTCATGTTTTCTCTGCAGAGCGTATGGTGCTTTGGGATTTGGCTCGTATGTCATGTTTTTCCGCATGAAAAAGGAACGCAAGTCCCTGTTTCTTTGCATATGGACGGCCTACGGCGCTGCCCCTTGAAGAACCCAAATTTAGTGGTGAATAGGAGAACAGTTTTGCATACACACACTCTCTCTCTCTCTCTCTCTCTCTCCCTCCCTCTCTCTGTCTCTCTGTCTGTCTGTCTGTCTGTCTGTCTGTCTGTCTGTCTGTCTCTGTCTCTGTCTCTCTCTCTCTTTCTTCTCTTCTTCTCCCCCCCCCCATCTCCTGATAATTATTAGCCCCCGTTTTCTTTCGACGCGTTTGCTGTGCAGTGAAGCCGAGACCCAAGGTCGGTGGAGCACATCAGACCCCGTCACCACGTCCACGATTCATGCCTGCGATGCTGCACCGCTGCTTTGCATGTCATGATTGGAAGCTGTGGCCTTATAAAAAATAAAAAAATAAAAATACAGTCTAGTGTGTTGGAAAACAGTGAATTGCTGGCACCATACAGAAGAGTAGAGCGTCCAGGAACGTAGTTTCCCAGGGGTTAGCCTGGGACGTTCTTATTTTTCCCCCCAGAAATCTGGCTGCGTTGTTAGAAATAATTCTTACTGAATCATATGATCCGGTACGAATTATTTCTAAGAACATTATTATGTACCATTACCGATTTTCCGGAGTATAGGCCGCACTTACCGTACTCACTTGATTAGAAGCCCCTCTCGAATACAAGCCCCACTTGAAAAATAGTCCCCCTACAAGGACTGTTTGAAAAATACAAGCCCCTCTCGAATAGAAGCCCTGACTACTATTCGCAAAGCATGGGGTGACCAGGTAGTGCCATGTATGAAGGTCAAGTGTGCAAAAAACATCTCGTGCATGTTCATATTGGTGCATGTCCTGGTCGACGTAGTGTGTGCAAACAAACTCGGGGACGAGTTGCTGTGAATATGAATGTTTTAGAAATTCGATTGGAATACTGGAATGGAATGAAACAATAAAAGCCCCTCTCCAATAGAAGCCTCCTCAAAATTGGAATTGAAAAATAGAAGCCCCCGGCTTCTAATCGAGTGACTTCGGTAATTATTTATTCAACATCTCCTTGCTCGTCGTAATTCTGCCAACATTTATGAGAAGTTTAAGTTAAGTTAAACACTGGCAATTCAACCCCAAAGAAAAGGTCAGTGCAGCTTATACTACCATGGTCAAATGAACAGTGATATACAGGGTAGATGTCTGTATTTCGTGACAAAAACTCTGGATGCGGCGCATACTCCGGAAAGAAAAGGTATCCCAAAAGCTACTAGAAAACCAACACCGTCTCTGCTGACTGTATATACTATACGCACAGAGCTGTGCGGCATGGTTGGATTACCTGTGTTCGTACTGAGGGAGAGAGTAGTACAGGAGAAACTGCTCGCTGCCTTGACCAGTGAATGTCCCATAGGCCTTGTCTACCTGCAACCCATCCATCGGCCACTGGAGAGACTGCCCGACACTTTCGCAAAATTCATGCCTGCGGAAGTGGAGGCCAGAGTAAAGCCGACCTGGAAAGCCTTCCGCGGCGCATATGAGCGTATCAGTGCACCGAACGCGCAGCCAGATGATCACGCCGAGGTGTTCCATCTCTGCCAAGAGTTTGTGAGCAAATTCACCAGTCTGGGTGACCTCAACGAGGCGTACTTTTGCAGCGCTCGTGCACTTTGAAGTTCTCATGCCTTGTCGAAAGGGAGGAGGAAAGTTTCTGCATGGTAAGGTTTTGATATGGGTTGCACTGTAGGCAGACACCTCACTCTAGCTGGAGATGGTAGGTTGGACAGCCCTGGCTATCCCGCTCGATTCGGCACGTACACCTTCATGGATGTTGCATCCGACTTAATCGTGGACTACCATCTGGCAAAGTCCACGGACACAACGAGCTTCGTGACAATGGAGAAGATGGGATTCATAATTTCACTCGACCGTTGCTTGGAGCAAAGAAGGTGTGTACTGACTGGGTATCTGTTTTTATTCTTGTTAGAATCGCATACCACTTGCAATATCATTGTGGTTCTGCCTATTTGATGATTTATGACCCCAAGGGTAGGGCCCACAAATACTACATTTCTCGTCCCCATCCACAGAATGCCACCATAGTCACTGACCGGCGTCCCAGTATTAAGAAGGAAATGTCGCGGCGAAGCAACTTTGTCATCATGACTTACGGAGTACTGAATGACGAAGAAACAGTAATAAGTGCCGCAGGGAATCATGTGATAGCCGTCGTGAACGGTCCGAAGTCGTACGACACCTTGAAAACGGCTTTCTCAACACTGTTCGCGTAGATTAATAGCGTCATCCGAAACAACGAGGTCGAAGTCAATGGGAAACACTATCCAATCAGCATCGTATTAGGAGGAGATATGAAGTTCTTGAACATGGCCATGGGTCTAAGCAGCGCCACAGCCAATCATGCGTGCGTCTGGTGTAAGGTACACAAAGCGCAACGCCACGACAGTACCGCAAGCGCGGATCTCTTCAACTCACCTCCGGTAGCACGAACGCTTGAAGAGCTGCAGACTGGGAAGCCAACACATCCATCTGTCAAGCAAGTGACCAATGGACAGCAGGGAAAACAAAATAAATATGGCCAAAAAACACCTCCATTAGTGAATATAGAAATTGGAAACAGTGTTATCGATGAACTGCATCCAAACTTGTGAACTGCATTGGCAGCAGCACGCAACAAGATGTCCAAGAGCTGTGGGAAGAAGGGTTCACCCTGATTTACAGTGGGATAAACAAAACCAATTCTACCTAGGATCTATTATGGTGCTCTCCTCCTTGCTTCGCAAGCTCCTCCATTCTGCCTGTAGGAGGAAGGACATCTGCTGCGACGCTGATGCTTCTGCTGTGTGCTGTTGACTCTTTGAATCAAATGCGGTATGTTATAATTAATAAAGTAGTTTGAAGTTAAACGGTTTGCAAATGTGTTCGACTCGGGGTCGTCTACAAATACAAATATTTTTAGAGAAGATATCAGTTCGTTTTGGGGGAGGGGCTTGGTTTGCAAATGTTTTCAACTCGGGGTATTGCATTTCATAGAAAAATCGACCCCTGCATAAACGTGTGTATGGTTGTTTTTGAGGGGGGAGGGAGAGGGTCTGGGGAGAAATGAACAAATATCGGTATTTACGGATGGACCCTTAGTATACAATCATCAATGTAGTTGCCTATCAATAAACTGTTGAACGGCACCTTTCGGCTGTTGAATAATACAATAAACTAACTCTCCTCCTCCATGCGCTCTAAATCCGACCATTGCTACCCTCGGTAGCCATTACTCACACCAATAACTTCAAACAACGAAGGGGTCACGACTCACGGGTAAACATTTCCTTCTGACAGCTGTTTCGCCTATCAAAGGCTCGTCAGAGAAGGTGAGACTGATATTGTAATTGACATGGCATACCGATTTTATACGGTGTAATTATTATGGGCGCAAGAAAGAAACTAGGCAAGGTGTAACACTGAGAAGTTCCAAGAATATTCTCAAAGCCCTTGGTTCTAGGAAAATAGCAGGTGAGAAACTGTATTCATCCAATCAAAAGCTGCTAACATTTTGCATGGCTCGATAATGCAGCACATATACAGACTACGAGCGTGTAAATTCGTAACTGATCATGGAAAAGAAAAGAGTTTTGGCAAGCAAATAAACAAGAATATTAATATAAAAAATAATTATTATGAATACTGAACGCCCTCATGCTCACTTCGTTGTTTGAAGTTATTGGTGTGGGTAGCAACGGTCGGCTTTAGTTAGAGCGCATGGAGGAGGAGAGTTAGTTTCTTGTAATGTAGTTGCCTGTTTTTTTAACCCTTTTAGTGCCATCTAATTTTTCATAGCTCAGCTAGATCTCCACGTATCTTTGCAAACGATGGCTCTCTGGAAAGATGTTTTGGTGACGACTCAAATAGTTTTGCAAGTCAGCCACAGACACAGCTCATGCATGCATATACTGTATAACATGTAACCGCTACCTTGATGATAGCGCACAATACCAGGTGGGGATCTAGGAAGTGTTGAAAAACACTAAGTTCCTAACCCTACCTAGCTGCTAGTCCAGACTGACTGAAACCAAAATAGGGAAGCTGTCAATCAATAAAACACTGCTATAAAACTTGAGCTGCAAAGTGACACCAAACAACACACTGAGGAGCTCTTGAACTTCAAACGTGCTTTTCTTCTTCTTGCTCTTCAATTTCAAGCCAGTGACATTGGAGAAACTGCTTGAAATGTGCAAAATGAGGCGATTTCCTAGATATTTGGAGCTGGAAAGCAGGCTGGACCTGCAAGCTTTCGGAACTGGTCCTTGATGAAGACAGAGATCAGACTAGCCAGGTGACAATGCTGTGGTTTGTTGGCTGACAATATTCGGAGGGAGCTTCAGAAATGACCATGAAGAAGGTCAATTCTTGCTATTTCCTCAAGATCACCAAGGTAACAGATACTTTTCAGTGGAGAAGAAAATCATGATTCTTAGGAGTTGAGATCGCGTCGGTTGTTCAATGTTTTTCACTTTCGTTTTTCGTTGTGTAACTGTTTGTCTTGTTGGCGTGATTCACTGGTTTGATACCTTACATTTCGATTATGGCCATAGTTTGGAGCAATTTTCTTCCTTCCTAGATCAATCTCTGCAGTAAATGCGCAACTTTTTTTTACGGAATTTCGGATCTGTGGGACGTCGTAAAATTGCTGGTAATGCATACCTCGTCAGTCATAGTACTTTGAGAAATGATCTACACAGGCTGCAGTTCTTCCACGGAGGTAGCTCCACTGGGTCCGCCCAACCCACTAGCCTATTGAAGACGTTACTCAGTGACTTCGGAATACTCACATTGCACTTGAACAATAGAACACGCTGTGGGTTGTGATCCAGTTTTCATGGTCCGTTACCACAACCTGCAAGCAGTATGTGAGCACACGTGCGGTGCACACGGACATGCATGCACACACACAGCAAACCATACATGAAAAGTGCACTTCGCAGTAAGATAAAGTGCAGCCTTGCCCCAGTTATTTACCCAAACATGTTTGGACAGCTTTGAAGTTGTGTTCCGATAATCAGTTCAACCAGTGTATACTCGTGTATATTTATATACATTCCTGGTACTTTGAAGGAAGTGGGGAAAGTATCCAGTCAACCTTGTGGATAACAACCTCGTGTACTGCATAGCAACAACTCGTGAATACCGACACAATCTTCAGACATAGTGATCATTCAACTGCATACTTTAGAGACCTCACGAAAAACAGCACTTTCTCAGGCACTATCAAGGCCGGTCGTTATTCGCAAGGTTGACTGTTGCCTGTTGACTGCATGGATAAAGTCACCAGTACAATGTACACAATCATAATCAGGACAATCCCGGAAACTGGTTTCTCAGCACATGCTGTCACGAGAGGCCATTCTAGTAATTTCAGCACACAGGTGCTGTATACTGTAAAAGCAGAAATTTTCGGTGGTGTAATTATTTTCGGTATTCTCCAAAATTGACTGTTCGGTGGAGGGAAATTTTCGGTAAAACCCGTTTTCCAGGCAAGTGTACTTGTACTACATGTAGACAGTACCGGTAGTATCGGAATTTTCGGTGCGTTTTATTTTCGGTAAAAATTGTCGGCACCGAAGTTACCGAAAATTTCTGCTTTTACAGTATTAGTGGTACCCCACGTGCATGCAGCAGCACAGGTTCTTTCATGTTTTCTCTGCAGAGCGTATGGTGCTTTGGGATTTGGCTCGTATGTCATGCTTTTTCCGCATGAAAAAGGAACGCAAGTCCCTGTTTCTTTGCAAATGGACGGCCTACGGCGCTGCCCCTTAAAAATAAGAATAAAATAAATTATCGTGTTCGTTCCCGAAGGGAACTCACGACGGCCGCTAACACCCGGTAAACCCTAGCGGCAGATGCCGCGCAGATGCAGCTGCCCCTTGAAGAACCCAAATTTAGTGGCGAATAGGAGAACAGTTTTGCATACAGTCTAGTGTGTTGGAAAACAGTGAATTGCTGGCACCATACAGAAGAGTAGCGCGTCCAGGAACGTAGTTTCCCAGGGGTTAGCCTGGGACGTTCTTATTTTTTCCCCCAGAAATCTGCCTGTGTTGTTAGAAATAATTCTTACTGGATCATATGATCCGGTACGAATTATTTCTAAGAACATTATTATGTACCGTTACCGATTTTCCGGAGTATAGGCCGCACTTAATTATTTATTCAACATCTCCTTGCTCGTCGTAAGACTGCCAATATTTATGAGAAGTTTAATTTAAGTTAAACACCGGCAATTCACCCCAAGAAAAGTCAGCACAGCTTATACTACCATGGTCAAATGAACAGTGATATACAGGGTAGATGTCTGTATTTCGTGCACAAAAACTCTGGATGCGGCTTATGCAACGCAAAAAAAACCCGGTAACCCAAAAGCTGCCAGGAAACCAACACCGTCTCTGCTGACTGTATATGCTATACGCACAGAGCTGTGCAGCATGGTTGGATTGCCTGTGTTCGTACTGAGGGAGAGAGCAGTACAGGAGAAACTGCTCGCTGCCTTGACCAGTGAATGTCCCATAGGCCTTGTCTACCTGCAACCTATCCATCGGCTACTGGAGAAACTGGTCACGGCAATTGTCAACGCAATAGCATCGTGTAATGTGCACGGATTCAGAGTTTGGCTAGAGGGAACAGACCAAGGTAATCTCAACTGGACGAACCTTGACGGCCCGGCAAAGAAGCGGCTACTCGAGAAACTGCCCGACACTTTCGCGAAAGTCATGCCTGCGGAAGTGGAGGCCAGAGTAAAGCCGACCTGGAAAGCCTTTCGCGACGCAAATGAGCGTATCAGTGCACCGAACGACCATGCCGAGGTGTTCCATCTCTGCCAAGAGCTTGTGAGGAACCTCAATGAGGCGTACTTTTGCAGCGCTCGTGCACTTTGAAGTTCTCATGCCTTGTCGAAAGGGAGGAGGAAAGTTTCTGCATGGTAAGGTTCTGATATGGGTCGCACTGTAGGCAGACATCTCACTCTAGCTGGAGATGGTAGGTTGGACAGCCCTGGCTATCCCGCTCGATTCGGCACGTACACCTTCATGGATGTTGCATCCGACTTAATTGTGGACTACCATCTGGCAAAGTCCACAGACACAACGAGCTTCGTGACAATGGAGAAGATGGGATTCATAATTTCACTCGACCGTTGCTTGGAGCAAAGAAGGTGTGTACTGACTGGGTATCTGTTTTTATTCTTGTTAGAATCGCATACCACTTGCAATATCATTGTGGTTCTGCCCATTTGATGATTTATGACCCCAAGGAAAGGCCCCACAAATACTACATATCTCTACACTTGCGGGCTTCGGCCCCTTCCACAGAATGCCACCATAGTCACTGACCGGCGTCCCAGTATTAAGAAGGAGATGCAAGGACGCCACCCCATCAAACATCAGTTTGACGCATGGCACTATGCCAAGAGTGTCGCCTCAAAGATAAGGACAGGATGTAGGAGGAAAGACCAACATCCCTTGCTCAAGTGGCTACCGGCAATCAACAACCACACGTGGTACTGCGCCCGGTCATGCGAAGGCAATGCTTTGCTGCTGCGTGAAAAGTGGAACTCAACCCTGTACCACATCGTGAACCGACATAGCTTGACAGAGTGCACTCTATTCATGCAGTGCGTGCATCCTCAACTGTTGCTATGAAGAGGCTGACAGTTCCAGCAGTCCATAAGCGCAAACCGGCAAAACGTGTCGTGCCATGGAGCCCCAATCAAGGCAATAGTTGTCGCCAACCTACAAACAAGATTAACAATGACAGCAACAGTAGAAGCCTCATCTTCAGTTGCACCAGAGGAAATGGATGAGGAGGAACAAGAAGAATATGAAGTAACTTAGAGGAGGATGCAGATTAACTGGAGCACCTTGGTATCCGTGACATTGCCCTTGCCTGGCTTACAAGCTACCTGACTCGCCACTGACAACACGTCAAGGTTCGCTCCGCTACGTCGTGATGGCAATCCATTCCAGCTGGAGTCCCCCAGGGTTATCTGTTTTGGGGCCTCTTCTGTTCCTCGTGTATGATCGATTCCCCACCGAGACTTCCCCATTCACAGTGCCCTCGCCGATTACAACTCACTCCCTATCGACATCACAACCCAACCTCATAGCAACTCTTTCCGACACATCCAGTCTTCTTCGAGCAGTACCTGTTCCTGCTCTGTACACCCCTCCTGGTTTCTGATGCTGTAAAGTGAGAAACGTTCGCTATATTAAATTTCGCTATTTTTGCAACGATCACACATTCGTGAATATAAATCGTCGCAAACTGCTCTGTACATTGACTGTAAACAGTACAAGATCCAACTGAAGAGATAAATTCACGAAGGTTACTCATCGAGAGCCAGTGCAATTCTTGAAAACGCAAATGTGCGCACCGTGAAAGTTTATCGCTTTACAGTATCTCAAGCGTGTCACAAGCATTTAACTATCTTGAACACACCTGTTATTGTCCCCGCATATGCTTTTAATTATCCATTGTTCATTGCCTCCCCGGGTTAATTCCCATCAGCTGTTTCTGACTAGTGTCAGCACTATCATACTTATCAATCTTCCTTATTGGCGTCTCGCGATCGACGAAAAAAAAGAATGTACAGAGCAGTTTGCGACGATAATAACTGCAATTGAACAGCCAACCCAAACACAGCATCACCATCCACAACTGTCTCCACTTATGAGCATGCCATAGGTAAGACGTAGTTCTTCAGTATTTCAACATCAATTCTTATACGCACATCCTACAGAAATCCTAGTTAGCTTATTGTTTAGAGTAAAACCCGTCATGGCTACCACTCGGTTAAGGTGACCACTTGTCCAAGAAGAGCACTGCAACCAGGAAAAAGGGATGCTATCTAGCCGTGGTTGGCTATAAAAAGTTAAAAACTCTGCAATCGCCGTGCAAAGTGGTCATTGGCTACCCCAGCCATGTATTGCTTGGAATAAAATAAAATAAAATAAATATTTCCAGTCAACCGACCCTGTTCAGCAGACTTCAAACTACAATGCGATGCAGTCGCCACATTTCATTCGTCCATGCATGTATTCGTATTCACTCCATAATTTGACATCAATGCTTACCTGCAGGGTTTGCAAAAGCACTGGCGTATTGCTCCCACAGGGCATGCTGGGATACGACTTCTTACACCACGACCCATTTCCCCATGGATCATCCACATCACCTGTTGGTAGGCAGCATATCTGAATGACCTGGGCAAGGAAGTATACAATAATATTCAATCATGAATTCAATCATGAATTCATGAAAGTGGATTGAGCAGCACAGGATACTTTCACAGAGTCTAAGATAGATACTTTTGCCACAGGTTTCGACAAACCTCAAAATAACACTAAGCCATATTGGTTGCCACCTGAGTACGCTTTGGCATCCACATGCAATAATGATACGTCAAGCCTTTGAACTTGAAGTGTCCTAACGCTATTCAAATATTCTTGAATGCTGTCAGATCCAGGGAAATAGAACACAGTTGCTACATCCCTCCTGTACATATATGTAAAGTTAGTTCTGCCAACGATTCCCATACCAGTACCCAATTGCATAAGGTAAGTGATGCATGGCTATACTCCACGTTTGGAACATTACCTGTTTCTGACCACGGGGACGGAGCCATTAAAACCATCGTTAGCATTCTAGTGTTCTCACAACATTCCACTGCATCTATCAGGGGCGTCGGAAGGTAGTCTACATAATGGCGCGACTCTGACAAGGCGGGGGAATAAAATAATTGGTGCAGCTTTGGCCGCACCTGCCACACCAGTTCCAACGCCCCTAACTGTGGCGTGTACTGGAGGATAGGGCTGTCACCATCCTGGAAATG